GTTGGATTTGAATTTCACATAAACAACAAATTAATGTTCAAACTTATCTGAAGTTCAAGTTTAACTGGGCATCTTGTATTTTTGTTGCTAGAGCTGGTTACCGAGTCCTGTCTGACATGTCCAAGCCTGTGGGTTTGGCTGGGTGGAGCCGTATTTCCTAGTTTGCTCTATAGCACAAAAATTGCAGTAGGTATATTGTATATTACTCTAAGAAAATTATTTTGTAGTCAAACAAGTTTGGCAAATACTGGGTGAAGCCAAGTTAACCAGATTTTTTTTTAATTGTAAAAGTATCTTGGACTCTTAAGTATACAAATATGCAATGATCCTTCAAGTTTCATAAAATTTCACAACTGGAAAACATCAACAGATTTTCCAGCAATCTCACTGTGGAAACACTATGATGGGGAGAAGCCGTACTATTGAAGAAGGGTTTTAAACAAGTAAGTGACAAAATAATACTAATGATTGAAGGAGCAAAACTATTTTTAGAAGTACTCATTTGAGAGGGATAAAACCAGAAGCACAAAGCCCGGGCAGGAGGTTATATTATTTTGTTAGAGTTGCACTAACAAAGTACCACAGATAGATTAAACAACAACAAAAAAGTGTGTTTTTCAGAATTCTGGATGTTAGAAGCCTGAAATTAGGTTGGCAGCGTTAGTTTCATTCTGAGGCCTCTTTCTTGGGTGGCTCTCTTCCCCCTGAGCATCTGCATCCTCCACATGACCAGTCATGTTGGATTAGGGCCCACCCACATGACCTTGTTTTACCTTAAGCACTTCTTTAAAAGGTTTTAACTCCAAATTCTGAGTCACATTTGGGGGATGGGGATTTATGACTTCAACCTACGTATGTTAGAGGGTATAACACAGCCCATAACTCCTGAAAGATGCTGAGGTTGTGAATTAAGGTGGTGGCAGTGGAAATGAGGAGAAGGGAATCCTAGAGGTATGAAACAGCCAGAACGGGAAGGATAGTGACCAGGCTTGGCATGGTGGCCGATTCACTCTGTTCCAAGGATTGGAGTGTCAGTGGTTCCTAGAGGGTGCAAAGGCTTGGTGACCAGTGGCTGATCTCTCTGGACTATGTTCTTTGGGGCCTTTACAGACACACTGAAGGCCAGTGCCAGCCCTGACTCCCACCTACCAGTTAGGCAGAATTCTTTTTGGTAATGGAAATCATAGTCAAATGTTGATAGTCTGAGTGGTTTAAACAAATTAGAAAGCAGCCAAAGGACATATTGAACACTGACTTTCCATCCTATAGAATCTATAAAGCAAGAATGTTCCATAAAAAGAAACTGCTAGGATTGCCAGGGTGGGGGTTAAAAACACACAGGTTGACACATCTTCAAGCACCAGCCTCTGGACTGTGGGGTTTTTTTCCTTTGTCTCCTTTGGTCTGTACACCAAGAGACCAACAATTACATAGAAGGGATGAAGGGGGTGTCTTGGAAACATCCTGAAAATCTGCCCAAACTTCCTAAAGGTAGGGCCCATCTCCACTGAAGTGTGCAGAATCCTTATCAATACATGTGTTAGTTTCAGTTAAAAGCAATAAATTCCTTCTGGTTAACTAAAAAAGAAAAAAATCTATTGGAGAACTTTGTCTTCAGTCTTTGGACCTCTTCACCAGTTAAATAAGGACACTAGCCAAAAGGCATCACAACCTGTCTTTCTTTCATTTTTAAGTCTGATCGTCTTCCTTCTCTGAGCCTATTCTTGCAGCCTACCTCTTTCCAAAGAGCTTTCCTTGACTGGTTTTCTTACAGTGCTTATCATTTGCCTTGCAGTAGAGCTCAAGGCTTGTCCCAAATATTCTATTCAAATAACAGCTTCCTGAGAGGGAGGGGGAAATTCCTCTGTGACTCTTGTGTGGCCCCAGTATATGCCAGGATTGTGACAGTCAGCAGTGCACTTGTCTTAGATCATATGCCAAGTGCCTGGACTTGGTCGTAAAAACTACTTCCCATAGGTGCAAACCTCCAGAATTACTTAAATGCTCTAGAATTGACATCTTTTCCCTTTGCATCTAATTTAAATCCATTTCACAACAGATGGCTACTTCCTTCCTTCCCTGTATTCAGATGCTTTTGCAATGTGGCTTTCTAGATTCCTCCATGAAGAGACTATTTCTTCACCCTTTGAATGTGGCCTGATCCAGAGACCTGCCTTGATCAGTAAACGGGAGCAGAGATGATTCTGTGCCATTTTCCAGTGTAAGCTTTAAAGGTCTTGTGAGTTTCTTTCTCTCCTACCTCTCTTTCAACAGCTGTGTGATCAAGTCCAGGTTAGTCTGCTAGGTAGCAAGGAACCTCATGGCCAGCTCCACCCTGTTACTCCTGTTAGCTTAGATGATAGCCAGTTAACCCTTAGACAAAGAATTCCTGAGCTGACCATGGATTCTTGAAAGAACTCAGAAGACCAGAAGCATGCACAGCTTATCCATCCTAACTGCTCATTTTCAGAATCCTAAGCTAAATAGCTGTTGCTGTTTTAAGCCACTAAGTTTGGGAGTTGTTCGTTCTATAGCAATAGTTAACGACCACATGAGCCAAAACACTTAGATACTTGATGAATGCTGGGAAATTCCAGTCAATCAACACAGCTTCTCAAATGTATGCTTTGATAAATTTTAGTGTTCTAAACTTATAGCAATAAGATGTAAAATAGAAAATAAAAACTGTATAGTTGGCTCATGAATATACATTTCCACAAACCAGACTGAAGTCAGGGAGGAGAAAGGCAGAATTCAATTTCTGCAAAGTAGAGGGAATTCAATTTCCACCTGAGACAGAGTACAAATCCTGGCTCACTGCTCGAAGCCAATGTTTGGTGGGAATGGAAAATATCATTTTTTTCCAGATCAGTAAAGAAGGCATAAAGGACTGGGAATCTATGTGGTTCAGTGCTTGCTTATCATGTGTGAGTTCTTGGATTCAATCCACATCACTGAAAAAAAGCTAAAAAAAGTTATCAAGCATTATCTTTTTAATCAGGCATTCTCTGTCACTTCATTGGCTTTTGAAACTGAAGATCAGTTCTCACTCCTTTCTAAGCAGAATTTGATAGTCATTCTTCCTACACTTCCTTTCTATGCAAGGATAAAGCTTTTCCTGGTTTCCCTCCTTCATAATCCACTTTTCCAGGGGCAGGGCATAACTCAGTGCCCACCACCTTCCTGACAAGTGTGAGGTCATGAGTTTGATTCCTGTACCAAAATAAAATAAAACAAAAAATTTAATTTTCCCTCCACTCCATAATTTACTTTGTAAAAACGTTTGTAACAGGAATTGAACTCAGGATCTTGTGCTTGCCAAGCAGGCATCTATGTCACCGAGCTGTATTCCTGGTTCATAATCTACTGCTGTCTGTTAATTTTTAATGCTTCCTGTTTCTTTTAACACTTTCTTCTAAACCCTTTCTGTTGGAGTACACTTGGATCAGTTATTGGTTCTGTTTTTAACCGTCTCTGCGTCTGTGGTCACTTTGTTCATGTTCACAATTGTAAATATCTTCGACATTAACTGGTTCTCATTTCAATCTCCAGCTCAGATCTCTTTCTGAATGCCAAGTCTCCAGTTTTTGTTTTTTCAAAAAGAATAAGAGATGAAACAAAAATAGACAATCACTAAGTAAGATTATGTAGTTATGAAAAGATTAGAAATTTTTGAGGTAAACATTATAGTAACTTAAATTAAAACTTCATAATTAAATAGAAAATTAATGAAGTAGAAATCAGTCTTGAGGAATTTGCCTTTACATAGCCAAAGAGATCACAGTATGAAGAGAGAAGAGAAACGTAATTCAAATAGCTACAGTGCATGTCAAATAAGATTTCTGAAGAAGGGAAGAAGCAGCAAGATTTGAAGAGAGATATAGCAGAGACTTCTTCGGCTGGAAAAGAGAACGCCTTTGGACCATAGAACAGTAGGGTGCTTAAATTGAATACATAAAGAAAACTCAGCCCTAGCAGATATGCTGAAGTAAAACTCAGAACATTAACATTAAGTAGTAGAGCTGAGGACTCTTCAGAGAGGAAATAAGTATTATTTTTGTAGAAGTGACAGTGCACTGAGGCACCAGTAATGCGGTCAATGACATTATGAAAATCATAGAACGTTATTTATTAAGAGAAGTGAGCCCACGGCAGGAAATATAATGGTGAATATAGAGGCTGATAACATTTGGCAGTAAACTGACTTAATTACTGACCATAATGACACACATATCGACCATATCTGGTAGTTTGTTGTTGTTGATTTGTTTTTTAATTTAAGGAAAGGGTAAAGGGACTTGGGAATGTAGCTCAGTGGAAGAACAGGCCTAGCATGCGTGAGGCCTGGGTTCAATCCTCAGCACTGACAAAAAGAAAAAAAGAAAGAAACACCATGTTCAAATACCATGTGCAAGTGAGGCATTTGCAATATTAAAGAAAAGGATAGAAATTCTAAATAACTCTAGAATTACCTTTATTAGAAAAGCTTACTATTAAGTATATTGGTTTTAAAATGAGGAAAACCATTAAAACAAATATATTTCTATTTATTAAAATATTATAATATAGAAACTTTATATAGTACAAGGCATGAAAGGAGAAATTTACACAGCAAAAAACAAAATGGCATTATAATTAGGAGAATATTCAAAAAAAGACAGAAGTTCAAATAAATTGTAATAAATATAAGAAGATCTATCTACCAAAAATGGTTATGTGAGTAGATTATCTTCTATAATACTTCTAAAGAATTCATTAAAAATAAAACAAAGGGAAACAAATATACATGGATAAAAAAGAAGTACCATATAAATAAAACTTAAATAAGAACTTAGAATATATATATATTTATATTTATGTTATATATATAAAAGATAATAAAATGAACAATACTTCAAGATACAGCATTCAGTAACCTATATGCACCTAACAGCTTATAAACTACAAAGTCAAAGCCAAGAAAATTATGAGGAATCAAAATTTACAATCACAGAATGCATTATTATAATCAAGTAAAGAGAAAGTTTATTAAGCATTTAAAAAGTATTAACATCAACAAATCTAGTAGATATGTAGAAAAAAATTCTATACCAACAGTATATTCAAACATGCGTTTATATAGTCTTCTTCCTACTAGAATCACAAAGGAAGTCTCAGCAGTTATGATAGGGTCTCAAAGGACATGTTGCCAGGCTATGGTTCAATGAAATTTGAAGTAACAATGAAAAGAAATTTAAAACAATAATAATAATTAGGAATTTTTAAAAACTAGTAAAATAGTTTCTAAATAACTCAAGCATTCAGGAGGAATTCACAATAGAAATGACAAAATATTTAGAAGTAAATGATAATGAAAGCATGTCATATCAAACTGTGTACATTTGTCGAGGAAAAATAAAAAAGCAGAGAAGATATTTTTGGGATAACTGGCAAGATTTAAAAGATGCCTATAGTTTAGACAATAGTACTATATTAAATTTTTTGAGTTGTATAATTACACTGCATAGTGAGTAAATGTCTTTATTCCCAGAAAATTTACACTAAAATATATGGGAATAAAGAAAAAGATGATTGAAATTTTTTAATGGGATCAAATGATAGGAGGAGAATGAAATCTGGGGAGGAATAAATCATATTTTAAAATGTTATTTTAGTAATGGTCAATCTGGATGAAGGCTATACAGGAGTTTTTAAACATTATTCTTGTCATTTTTTTAGAAGTATGAATTTATTGCTATGTAAACATTTTTAAAAACAAAGAAGCACCTGTAAGATGCAGTTAAAGCTGAGGAAAGTTTATTTCTAAATCTAACACTATCTTTTATAAGAGTAATGATTTGCCAGACTTCATTCCCTTCTGAGGTTTCCTTTTGCACCGATTGGATGAACCGGAAGGAAACTGTACATTCTGTGAATTAGCAAAGTTGCCCGCGACTCCTATTGTGCAGTATACGAAACAGCGTCTCACAGTTGCCAGCTCCATTTGTTAGGAATTGCCTTGGGGATAAACACAGGCCATGACTAAACAATGATGTCACACAATTGTTTTAAATAGCTGAACCAAAAAAAGCAACTTGTGCCACATTCCAACTAGGTCATAAAAATATAGTTAAGGAGCTTTGGTCTTAGGATTTCTCTTAATCCTTTTATAACACTTCTAGTGTCTCCATTCATGTGGTATAATTCAAAACACAGAAAGCTAACCTCTTCTTAATGTTTCCTGAGAAATCTGCCTCCTGCCTTCAGAAGAGCGATGGAGTGCCAACGCAGAGCCCAGAGCTCATGTCCAGGCCCTTGGGATCACGTGGAAAGGCCCTTGGTGGCAGAGGACAAGGCAGGAGTATGATGAACCACACCAGTGTCGAGGGAGGAAGAGAGGAAGGCAGAAGACACAGAAAGGTGGAGGAGCCGCAGATGGTTTCAGAAGAGTTTTAAGGATAGCTGCTGAAACTCTACCAGTCCTGACAAGTTCACATGATCTCCCTGTTGCCAGTAAGACTTTTCGGTGAGTAAGAAGGTATCAATCAGATCAGAGTGGTGGGAGCAACTGACTGATGGAGAGGAGAGCAACAGTCCTAGACAAGTGGTGTCCCTGCTCTTTCTGGAGACTATCGAGGGTGGATAGAGTGGGTCTGGTGGTTATTTGGGGACCTTCTTCTTTCTGCTACAGACTCACTCCCCTGGGACTCCCCCTCTCTGGGCACCAGACACGCGCTCTTGCTCCTGGGTTACCTGGCAAAGTCACAGCAATCATGGGTCCATAGCACTCACAGAATATTGACAGGCAGGAGAGGAGCAAATGATGCCACTGCTAGAAAACACCAGAGTGCAGATTTTTTTAAAAAAATGAGTTCTATTTATGCTGAAGTCTGTTGATTTCAATTAAAGCTATTCACAGAAATAAAACATGGATCCCACCCTGGAAGTACATACCTCGTTCTGGGCACAGGGAAGGCTCAGGGGTGCCCTGCGAAGGTGTAGCCTGTGCTCGCTTTGGAGCTGGCCATACTCGAGATTTCCAGCCACGGTCCCCTCTCCGCCTGGCCAATCCCAGACATTGCTGCTTTCCACAGAATTCATTCTAGATAAGATGGATTGAGTTGAGAATTCCCAACCTACCAGACATCAGTGAGATTTTCAGTCACATTTGCCCATAGTTAATAGCTTTAAAGAAAAAGAAAGAATGAAAAAAAGAAAGAAAGAAAGAGGAGAGAGAGAGAGAGAGAGAGAGAGAGAGAGAGAGAGAGAGAGAGAAAGACCTAGACTAGATGCCAGTATGTATTTCAGAGGGCTGTGTGGAATTTTTCAGGCAATCGAAAATTAGTGCTGGACAAAAGCAATGTTACATCTTTTTCTATTCACTCAAACTTCATAGAGATGCTTCAAACAAGTCACTATCATCTTCATCACAAAGTCTATCTCTACTCCTCCTCCAACACAAGGATTTTACTGACACTATTTGAAAAGTTCCAACTTTGGAGAATGAGGTCCAGAGAAATTGTGATGGTGTCCCAGAAATGCCATCTAGCTGGGAACGGCTCTGGGATCAGAGCTCTCCCCCCGCAGAAGCATTTACCCATTGCCAGAAAGTCAATGTATAACCAGAAAAGAATTGGCAGGGTCTGGATTGTGCTCCCAGTAATTTTTGGTGTAAGAAAGATGCTATCAGAATCAGGACCCTCTCAGAAATGTTTTATCCGGCACTCTGCAAATGGCAGACAGACTAACACTGTCAGTGGGATAGATGGAAACATGCAGCAGACTGTGCTTCCAGGAATTCATACTGACCTCTCCCTCCTCCAACAGGATGGAGGGCACACAAGGAGGCCGCACAGGCCGAGATGCAGCACACAGCTTCCAGAGGTACCCACAGACAGGTCCCGAGGACCTGTCCCAGACCTCAGTTAGGCCTGCCACCACTAACATTTGATTTCCCATGAATTTTGTTTGTTTGTTTGTTTCTGGGGAAAATGGGAAGAAGATTACAAAAATATTATTTCATATAATAACATGATGGTTAAGGTTTAATGCTAGTTCAAAATTTTCATGGTTCACCCATGTACTGCACAGTACACCCTGCACAATGACCCTGAAGAGCATGGCAGTATTGTTCTCACTGTACAAAGAAAGTGAGGACAGAGGGGTCAGGTGGTGTGCCCAGTGTCATTCCATCAGCTGGCGACAGATGGGATAGTCAGTGACCGAGGGAAAGCACCCATAGTATTTCCCATTAGACTCTAGACTGAATTCTGCTTCTCTGTGAGCATGTCTTTAGACCCAAACTAATTAACATTGAGGAACAGAACAGGAGAGGCATGACTCAGAGCGAAAACTGCATGGCAAAGTGATTATAGTCATTACAATATGTATTTCACAGCTGCTAAGAGAGTCCACTTTAAATGTTTGCATCACAAAGAAATGACAAGTGTACGAAGAGGTGGATACGAGCATTAACCTGATAAGATCGCTCCACAGGGTACATGTTATAATTCAGATCTAACAGGTGAGGCTTTTGAAAGGTAATTAGATCAAAACAGCTCTAACTCCATCCATGGGTCAATCCATTGATGAGGTCATATTTTGATAGAATTATTGGGAGGTGACACAAACTTGGGAATGGAGCTCAGGAAGAGACTGAGCCCCAGCTCCTGACTGTCTGGCTCTTTTTCTTTCTCTCTTGCTTCCTGCCTGCCACGAGGTGAACAGCTTTGCTCTAAGTGATGTCCTGTTTCCAGGGAGGCCTACAGCAATGATCCAGCCCGCCATGGACCGAAACTTGAAACTGTGAACCCAAACAAATCTTTCCTCACTTTAAGTTGTTATCCCCAGGTATTTAGTCACTGTGACAAAAAAACTAATACAGTATATTTGTACTGAAACATCACGTTGTACCCCATAAGTGTATACAATTATTATTTGTCAATTAGAAGTTAAACTTCAAACAGGATATTACATGTGACCTGTGTGTTCTTCAGAACTGTTTGTAGATCACTTGTATTCAAATATAGATTCACATTTGGTGGCTAAGTTCTGGCAGTACAGATTTACATATTCCAACCCATTTGCTTGTTGAAACTACCCTGTTCTACGCAGAGTGTACGGCACTTTATCTGACCCTGAATAAGCAAGGCTGAACAATGTTTGCAATGAAGAATGAACTCTGAAAGGAAAGATTCGTGGGAGTGCCAGCACAGGCCCTAGGAATGAGAGGACTTATTTGGCAGCTGTCAGGACAGATCAGCTCACAGGGTGGGAAGTGGACTACAGGGAGGGAGCCCTGACTGCAAGGACAAAGCTGGGATATAGGTCCCATTTGTCAAGCTGCTGCTGCTCCAGGGAGCCACCTATAAAACTGCACATGCCTGGTCACCTCATCTGATGAAAGCAGAACACTACTTCTGGCACAAGACTCATTTCTGCTTTTAAGTTCATTACTGGGGCCTGAGACATCCGTGCTCAGGAACCCATAAACAGTGCTGCATTTCCACTGGCTTTCTGAGCATGCCTGAGAACTCCTGGAACATACAAGGATAAGAAGCCTGCAGAGGGCTGAGAAAGGCCCAATGGCACGCCGGTTGTAATGTGAATCGATTGACTTTCATCAGGGCAAAACCCGCTAAGGATTAAGGTGTCTTTTTGGTAACCTATAGCTTATTCAAATGCTTGTTTCAACTGTCCTGGTAGGACCAGGAAATAGGAAGATGGCAAGGTCCACTAGAAAGGTGGCATCACCCACCATAGGTCTGCAGCTGCTCAGGAAGACCAAACATGGTTTAAAACGCCTTTCACTAAGCAGTCACATTCCACTCAGTTTCTGACCAGTGCCAGACACTGACCCTGGGAACTTCTGTCTTTTGCTTTACTTTCTTTGTTCTTCACCCCCACTGGGGCTCAAGTCCAGGGCTTCACACACACTAGACAAATGCTCTAGTACTGACTCCATTCCCAGATCGTGGGAACTTCTGAATCTTAGAATAAACATGAATACCAGAAAACAAATTCTAGCGTTCGGAGACCCTGAAACTCTTGCCTTCTTTCTTTTTCTGCATTAACACACGTTAGAAGCTCCTGACTCCATCCCAGAGGAGGGCATCTGCCTTGTGTTCAGAGGACCGGAAAGCTGTCATTGGTGTAGCAGCTGAGCAGCCCATCGACCTTGGCTAATCATTCAGCTTGGGATTGGCAGTTCCCAGTCCCAGGGATCCCTGCGATCCAACAGAAATGAGCCTGCCTGGCACAATGACCCGTGGGTTGTAATTTGAAGGAATTATTCACTGGGAGTGGAGGCCAAATTCTAATGGGATGGAGGAGCCCAGCTTTGAATGCCCGGGCAGTGAGTTTGTCCAGCGGCCCCCACACCTTCCCTCAAGCCCACTGGGCTTTTCAATGTGCCTTGTGAGGCATAACCTGCTTTGGCTCAGAGGTATAGAAGTAGGATTTGGGTGGTTTAAGAGACAATGCAATGCGAGAGTTGACAGAGGCCTGAGTGATGATGTCTTTGCTCACCATTGTCTCACCAGTGTGGTCTTCTAGAAACAAACTTTGTGTTCTCATCCCATGCTTGAAGTGGCTTCCCATTGTTTCAGAACAAAGGCCAAGGTCCTCAGTGCTATTCTTACATTCCCATATTATCTAGCCCTGCTCCTCTTTCCATAGCTTGTTTTCTCCTTCTCTTTCATTTATCTCTCACAAGTTTGTTTCCGTTCCTCCAAAAACTGGATCCTTTGTGTCTTAAGCACTGCCTTAGCCTTCTGCACTTTTTAATATCAATTTCTCCTGATGCTCAGCTCAAACATCACTTCCTCTGAGAAGCCCTCCCTAAATTCACCTCCTTATTCCTATTAAGTCAGACAAAGCCTCTTATAATATTCCTGCAGAGTGTCCTAGTGTTTCCCTCCAAATCATTTATCACAGTGGATAATGGAACAGTTAGTGCTTCTTATTGGATGAATTTCAGTCTTTCCCACTAGGTTACAAGCCGTGTCTATTTCACTTGCCTTTATATTTCTAATGCTTCCCACAGAGTCCAGCACATAGACCACAGGGGAATGAATGAATGAATGAATGAATCAGTACTCTGTTAAGGACAAAGGCGACATAAAGTAGAAGACAGCATTCCAGAAATGTAGAACATCGCTACCATTCACATCTGTAAACTTTCTTGGTCAGTGGGCACTGGCCAAACTGCTTTTGGAGGAGCATAAATACCTGCGAATAAAACATTTACATTCTTTTCTTTTGGCTCAGAACATTAGGGTGGATGGAGAAAGATCAGCCCCTAAACTCTCCTAGTATCTCTGATTAACAACACCCCCATCATCTGTCCCTCCTCCAGGGATGGCATGGGGAGAAGCAAGGAAGTCTGTGTGTGGGGTCTCTGACCTTACAGTGACATCCAAAACAAGCAGAAATGTTAAAAATATGCTGACAGTGGCGCTTTGTGTCCTCACTGAAAATTGGAAGAAAAAAAAAAAAAAAACAAAAAACCAACCCTACTTTAACCACAAAGCATTCATACAGAGCCAAGAAAGTCCTGAAGTCAATAGTCTTAATCCTTAGTCAGCCTGAGAGGTCCTCGGTTTCAGATGGACGAGCCAAGGACCTGCCATTCAGATACTATTATTTGGGCCAACCCAGCCGGCCTTGCCCAAGCACCTCCTGTGTATAGTAGGAACTTGGGAGACCTCTGGAGAAGAGGAGCTGCTCAGCTATCTGTGCAGACAGACATAAGACAATGAGAGAATAATCCCAGATTATTCAAAGAGGAATGCATGATCATCAGGTAGCCTGTTTCTGAGCAATAAATTTCCTCCGTGTGAAGGATGTCATCTCTTAAACTAGAATCCCTCAGGAAATCTTCCAGGAGGAGGTAAGTTTGGGCTTGTAGGAAAACAAAACAAAGAGACTGGCAAAGAGCTGAGCTGCGAACAGCTGGCTCCACAGCATACAGTACACAGCAGGACCTGGAGCTGAGAGTCCGGAGTTGTGCTGGGATTTGTAATTTGGGATGTCTCTCATTAATCATTCTGGGGAGAGATGAATCCCTTTGTAGCATTTATAGATAATAAGCTACCCAACATCTAGCTGATGGGGTAAAGTTTTACTCTCCAATTGCATTTGCTACACTCTGCAAATTCAGCGCCTCTCATTTTCCCAGTAGGCCAGGATTCCAAGTGAAATCACTTTGTTCTACCAGGGAAATCTAGGCTTTCCCTCCCTCACCAATCGTGCAACTTCTACGGTGCAATTTTGCTTGCACTTGTCTTTCCTGTTGTCCAAATCAATCTCCATGGAAACACAAGTCTGATTGAATAGTAAGTAGTAGTGGCCACTTAGGCAAAAGATGCGAGGGCATGCACACCACAGCAGCAATTACTTCCCATGAGGGTTTGCAGATTGAAATGCAGCTGAAGCATCTTTGGCTATAAGAGCATCTTTTTGTGTGTCTGTGTTATGTGCGCACACACATGCGTACTAGGTCTTTGCACTGACCTACTTTTTTTAAAAAATAAATATTTTTTCAGACAGTGTCTCACTAAGACCCTAAATTGTCCAGGCTGCACTCAAACCTGCTGTCTCAAGGCTGGGAGGCTGCCTCAGCCTCCCAGAGTGCTGGGATTATAGTGAGGAAGGGAAAGCCTAGATTTACCTGGTAGTTTCCTAAAAGCTGTTACGACAAGCCATTTCCCCGGGGAGAGTCTGCTACTCTGAGCAGACAGGACAATAAAAGATCAAGGATGTCTTTATAAGGCCACAAAACAGAACACACCTTGAAGTTGGTGGCCTTTTCATCTCTCTAAAGCTTAGGACAGCAATCTAGTGTCCATATTATATTTTCTATCAGCTGGCCAAGTGTGTCTTTTCTTAACCACAGAAAACTCAGTATTTATAAAGCACAAGCAGAGAGACATCCAGGTAGACCAGGTCCTGAGGAAAGATGGAAGGAATGAAGATAGGCAGGAAGGGATGAAGAAATTCATAACTAAAAGATGTTCTTTTAAAATGATTGCAACTCCAAAACACAAAGTTACTCAAAGTTATCCACACTGGCATTTGCTAAGTGTGTTTATGCTGCTTTTCTTGGAGGCCCATCACGCTTAGAATTGCTTAAAGATGATTGAAGCCCATCAATTAGAAGTCAAGGGGAAAAACCTGATCTTAATGTAAAAGTTGCCATTTTTTAAAACGGTGGGTGGGGTGCGTGCCTTTCTTTGTAAAATGGACTGTTATCTTTCTGTGGATGGTCATCCTCTTCCTGGAAACCAAGACAGCAAGGATTCACAAATCCCACAGACTTCCACTGTCCAAAACAGAACGATTTCCTGCTCCAAACTGTAGTGCCCCTCTCTCTCGAGGAACTATATTATATTTCTTTGAGTGTGAACTTTAAATTTCTGACTAAAAAATCCCTTTACATCTCTTACTCACGCATCCTGAAAATTCTTCCGTGATGGGATGCAGTGAACCTCAGTTTGTAACACAGGCAGGGTGGGATTAAATTCTCCAGTCCCCGCTTTGGGAACGTCTTCAGGCTCTGTGCGGGTACAGTCCTCCTCTCAGCAGATGTCACCCCAGCCTGTCTTCCCCTGAGAAGTTTCCTGCGTTCCTCATCCACCTTTCTCCTTCTGTTTGGCTCTGAAGTCATGAGTATGTCCAACAGCAGACCAGATTCCCTCTTGGCTTGATTTCCCGTCTCAGCTGTGCCTTCATCTCCAGAGGCAGGAGGCAGTGGTGCTGGGCTGCACACGGCAATGCCGAGGAGTCCTTCTCCTGCCGCTTCCCTGTTGGGATTCCCACCTTGGAATGGATTCCAGGGGCACTGAGGTCAGAGCTGCTGCTACAGCAAAACCTCACAGTGATCTGCTAGGGAGATAGCTAACGTCC